TGTGCGTGCGTGTGTGCGTGCGTGCGTACGTGTGTGTGTGTGTGCGCGCGTGCGTGTGTGCGTGCGTGCGTGCGTGCGTGCGTGCGTGTGTGTGCGCGTGCGTGTGTGTGTGTGTGTGTGTGTGTGTGTGTGTGTGTGTGTGTGTGTATGTGTGCGTGCGCGTGTGTGCGCGCCGTATTGCCCGGATGGTTATCTAGTTATAAGTTCTTCAATTATTCACGATTTAAATTACTGCTGCGTTCATTACTCGGCTGAAGTCACTCGAGCTCGAACGAAGTACTCAATCTACGCGCAACAATGACGTTATCTTCTTAAGACAACATGATATAAATCTTATCAGTATAATTGTATGACCTGTATGGATGATTTCGCAATATGCAACAGTATTCTTCTCGCAAATCCACTACGCGACGATGTTTAACTAGGTTCTATTGAAAATAAATCCAATTTAGCGCTAAGCAATCACACTCTATTCACGAGTACTGAGAGGGTATAGAATTGATACGGCATTTCATGTCACGAATACACGGAAAAATCCTTTCTGTCAACGGTGTTTGGAACCACTCAAAAGAACTTTCGCATGACTCAGCGAATCGCCTCGTGTCTGTTGTTCTGTGGTACACTACTGGCAACGATCATATTGTACTGTACGCACAAATACCTCTTCCAAAACAACGAAAATTATGCAAATTAATGCGAATGAATGAGCTGAGCACGTTTTCCGTTACAAACCACCGATGACTTTGCACATCGCGATATGAGTAATGATAGTGAACTGCGGCGCTATGCAACGCATATATATCTTCAAAACTCCAGACTTCAGTGTTAGGCGAGTTATCACAACTTGTACATGATATGATGTAGCTAAAAGTTACACACCACTAATCGAAAAAAAATCGAAATAATCAAATAATCACTCAAAGTAAAAATTGTTTAGAATCTCTTGTGATTAAATAGTAAATAGTAATATACTTAGTACTAGTAATAAAAAGTAATAAATAGTAAATATTAAAGGGTAAATAGAAATTAATATTGTGGGAGTAAATAATGTAGAAACATTAGTTTGTCCAGTTGAATGTTCATCGGTAATGATTTCAACTAGACATTTAGTGAGAACAATGGCATAAATCACATTAAAATATGGCTAAATGCATGTTAATTAATCAATTAAAAATAAGTGATAGAAAAGATTATTATTACTAAATACTTCCTTACTGATATTTTCATGTAAATAGAAAGAGTATGACGTCTCATTTTGACTCCATATTTGTCCAGCACAAGAAATTAGCTATTGTGAACGAAAGCGAATACAAAAACAGACAAGAAATGACGATCAATAACCAAGACAAAAAACTAAGCAAAATAAACATCGAAATGCACAAAGTAAAAACAAGGCATGAGTACACTGGGCACATATAAATAACATAGCAAGCATTTCGCTTAGAAGTTATGCAATGGATAACACGTGAATGTTTTTTAAAGTAGTAAAATCGTAGGAAGGGGTGAAGAAATAGCAAACGGTCTGTTTTTACAGCAAAACCAACTCATTTGAATTGTTTTTTAAATGGTAAAACATTTTATTTATTATAAGCAAAGTCGCGTTTGGCTCAATTTTTGTTACTATAACCTCAATCGCTCTGCATTATGTAACGTTGCAAATTACAATTTTAACCAACCGATAGATCTGCAAAAATGTACTTCGTGTTGATGGGGAACTCTTCAAACAAGAAATACCGGATGAATTTTTCATGATTGGGAACAGAAGTCAACCAGGATGCGAGATATCCGAAAATGTTATTTCAAGTAACCGGGAACTGTGGGAAACCGCACGTTAGATAGATAGATAGATATAGATTTATGTCGAGAATTAACAAAGCATACATTACAACGATAAGAGCATAAATAAACAATATGCAGCTAGATAATTATCGAATATAAAAACACAAAAAGCGTGTCTAGCACACTTATTTCCATTGTGGTCCTTTAAAATAACATAACATTGTATTTTGACCACGTTTTTGGACCTGGGCAATTAAGAATGTTCCCCTCGTCTCCCTTCTGTATATTCTTCTATAAAACGGCACATACATAAAAAAGCACATTTATTTTAACCGAGAAAAAAGGAATGGTCCCCCCGTATCTTTTCTACGTATGCTTTTATAAAACTGCACATACATGAAAACGAAACACTGCACTACTCCCATGCCATAGTTATAATTTTAAAAGTGATAAAACGGTATCACCGTCATAGCACACAACCACTTCACTGTCACTTCACTGACACAGTCACGTCCGCGTAAACTAAACGAAATATATCAACGTTTTGCAAGCCAGAAGTCACGCGTGCACCCCCGGGCAAGATACAAGACCGCACTCATTGCCCAATGTAGCTCTAGTACTATAGCCCGCGTACAGTTGCCGCAGACAATACAATGCCTGCGGCAACTGTACGCGGGCTATAGTACTAGAGCTATGCCCAATGGTACTAAAATACTCTGTTGGAGCAGTAGTCACAAGTAACATAGCGTCATACGCATACGGCATATATATTAATTATTATATATAATATATATATATTGACACTATCAATGCCATTGACATTGGTTGTAGATACCGCGTAGCAATAAGACAGGTCAGTGAGCTTATTTGTTCGCTACGAAGATAGACATTGAGATCAAGACAGCGTGCGCTAGTTGCGTGTGACATTCCGACTCTCCGTCTCACTCGGTCACTGGAGCAACAATTGAACGAATGAACGATCACGTTAGTCTAACGTGTTACTGTTAGTAATAGTATTACGGTTAGAACTTAGTTACTTAGAGTACTCACCCAGCTTTTACGGCATCAAATATAGTTCTGTGTCTTATGCCATTCATTCTGTTGCGACATTTACACTGTAAGACGACGTATATGCATCCGAATTCGGTATTCCACGCTTCATGTGCAGGACAACTAGCCAGAAATCAATAACAACATTGCAAACTGCCCGGCAAAGCATTTGACTTCGAGTTTTCCTGTTACCGGAAGTACCGGAAGTAAATTTCATAATACCTCCACTGTGATGAAACTTGGAGTTTTTTCTAGCTTTCAATAAAACTTTCGAAGAACGTAAATATATAAAATTTATAAAACTAAGTAATGTATTAGAACTATTTATATCTACGGTATGTTTTTTACTTTGACGATATTGCTCTTCATTTGTATATAGCGATCACGTGAAACATCGTATTGTGAGAGTGAAACGGAACGGATCGCGCGGCATTGCGCGTTTTGTTTTTCACAAATATAGTGAAAACATCATCTAAATTTCATTGTTGAGAAATAATTAATACAGATTACTGTTGTTTTAAGCAACTACATTGAAGGTATATACATGTGGAACTATTTTTCCCCTGTCTCTGATGTAACACGAGCGTGTACTGATGTAGTACGTTGCCGTTGCCGTTGGACCAGTGCACAGTTTGATTGCATGCGTAATTATTCGAAATCAAATATAAATTCTTTGTGTTTCAACATTAATTATTATTAGAAAGACAAATATCATTACAAGTAATTGACAACACCCAAATTACAAACTGCTTCATGTTAATATCGAAGAAATCTAATCACCAATGCCTCAAATACTGAAATAGGACTTGCTGCACACTGGCCAATGTTATTCATTTGCGATACGTACTAGTCGTAGGCCTACAAATGATATGTACAAATGATTTTTTTAGTGTGATACAGGTGTAACAGATACACACGGAAGTAACTCCACACTTTCCGCTACTGACTAATAACATTAACAATGAAATTCGCAATATTCCGTGCAAGATTACGATTGCGCTCGATATTCTACCAATTTGTGTAAGAAGTTGAATTCGAAACCTTTCTTATTTCGAGTAGCTTTATGTGTAATTCGTATTTGATGCACAAACAGGTTGGGTGCGCAGTCGGTTGCAAATATGTTCGGCCAACAGAACAAGCCACCGTTTGGTGGCACAAGTTTTGGAACCACAGCGACACCATTTGGACAAGGTTAGTGCGTCTGCATTGTCAAAGTGTACAGCGATCGATGCTGTATATCAAATGTTACTTACTTTAATTAAGGATAAAGGATCTTAATTACAAAATTTTAATAAAGGGTCTTTCTCGTCTGCATTGACAAGTTTTTGTTAGTGGAAACATAGATACCTCGCGATAGGTGGAGTTGATACGTATAATGATTTTTATGTTCATGCTGCTGCATCTTTTCTTATACATTTTGCAATAGATGTAACATCTTATGACCAACCGAGTTTTCCGCCCCCCCCCCAAAAAAAAAAATTTTTTTTCATAGACGCCTTGCTAGTATTTTTTTAATGTGCAATCCAAAAATTCATCAGGAAAGCATCAATCCTGCTCGCCAGTAATCCTTCTTGTGTGACGCGTACTGTGATTTTTTATATGACCACATCGTGATATATAACGAATCTTACGCTTTGCCGTTGCCATGACGACCAGCACCCGCGCCGACGTCGTTCGGAGCGACAAAGCCGACGGGTTTCGGAGCGACGTTCGGCGCTGCGGCACCGCCGTTTGGCACGGTGGCGCCCTCTGGTGCTGCGACGGGATTCGGCGCGGCCGGCGCGACGGGAACGGGGTTGTTCGGAACCCCGACACAATCAACGGCGTTCGGTCAGGCCCCGGCTGCTACTACGGGTTTCGGTGAGTCTCGCGGGAAAAAAACGATGTCGAAATCTCTCGACATGGTGATGCCGTGTCTAATGCAGAGTCACGTTTCAGCGAGTAACAAACGTCAGTAGAGGAAAGTAGCACACAAAAGTGAGAGTGAGAGAGAGACTGCATGCGAGAGAGAAGGAACCCTGCTTCGTTCCGCTCGCGTTACTAACCCAGTAATGTCCGACGCGCTTTCTAACTTGCGTTCTCTCCCTGCAGCGTTCGGCACCCCGGCGACACAGCCGGCCACGGGTCTCTTCGGAGCGGCAGGAACGACGGGAATGTTTGGAACTCCTGCGGCGGCAAGCACCAGCTTCAGCGCTAAGCCTGCGACCGGCTTCGGAGGTGAGCGTTGCGCGAAAGCAGGGAATTTGCTATATAGTGATTGCGCAACACAAGTGATTTTCACCGAACGCAAGCAATGTTTCGTAGCCACTTGCGGCTGCCGCAAGTCAACAATATGCCAGCTACTTACGTATTTAGAAGTCAGACCCATTTTATTTTGGTTTCTGTACGAAATTGAAGCGTAGATGACTCTGAATCATAGCAGGAAGACACAGAAGACATAGAATAAATCATAAGCTAAAACAGGGAGGAAGGGAAGGGGTACTGCCAGTTTGGAGAGCAACAGAGGTCGGTGCAAGTAAAAATCTCTTGGCGCAAGTAATTGTTTATCCTAACTTGCGGCATGCGCAAGTGTTTTTTTTTTAGCGAATTTTGATCCCTGGACAGGGTACGACGCCGGCGTCGCAGCGCGGTTGTCATCCAGGGTACGAACTTGGGTGTGCGTGTCCGTGATGAGTCTCGTGGGTGTTCCAAAATTTTCTCATTTTTAACTGTTTTCACTTCCGATACTTATCTATCTGGCACATGATGGATGCATGTAGATCTACTGTCACTACCACCGCGTGGAGTGTAGATCTACTCTCACTACCACCGCGTGGAGTGTAGATCTACTGCCACTACCACCGCGTGGAGTGTAGATCTACTGTCACTACCACCGCGTAGAGTGTAGATCTACTGTCACTACCACCGCGTGGATTGTAGATCTACTGTCACTACCACAGCGTGGAGTGTAGATCTACTGTCACTACCACCGCGTGGACTGTAGATCTACTGTCACTACCACAGCGTGGAGTGTAGATCTACTGTCACTACCACCGCGTGGAGTGTAGATCTACTGTCACTACCACAGCGTGGAGTGTAGATCTACTGTCACTACCACAGCGTGGAGTGTAGATGTACTGTCACTACCACCGCGTGGAGTGTAGGTCTACTGCCACTACCACCGCGTGGAGTGTAGGTCTACTGTCACTACCACCGCGTGATGTGTAGATGTACTGTCACTACCACCGCGTGGAGTGTAGATCTACTGTCACTACCACCGCGTGGAGTGTAGATCTACTGCCACTACCACCGCGTGGAGTGTATATCTACTGTCACTACCACCGCGTAGACGTGTAGATCTACTGCCACTACCACCGCGTCGAGTGTAGATCTACTGCCACTACCACCGCGTGGAGTGTAGATCTACTGCCACTACCACCGCGTCGAGTGTAGATCTACTGCCACTACCACCGCGTCGAG